GTATTTCAGTATGTATGTATGTATATATATCACACTGGTTCTGTCCATATCCTTAATTATTATTATCTCGTCACATATAAAACTTAATTTCTTGTGCACCTACTCAGACATTTCCCCACCACCCAAAGGTAGACTGGGAGAAAATGCCTGTGGCATTAAGTCCGCCATTGTACAATGAATTGTTGTTTGTGCAAGAAGAATTTAAAAAAATCATAGCTTAATTTTTTTTAAACCTGTATCTAAACTGGTAGTTTCGTTACGTTACGCTACGTTACGTAGGGTATGTAGGTCCATTGTTAGGTAAAATCAAGCGCCATCATTTAACCTTCCCTAACAAAATTAGGTTTTGAATTACATTACGTTACAATTATTGTTACTAGAATGCTTTTTCTTTCCTTTGAACTCTTTTTTATATTCTAGTGTCTTTATATAAATAGAACCTGCTTTCGACATTGTCTTGATTCAAAATGACACAATAAATTATACTATAAGCCTCTTTATTCATTTTCATCATTCATTGATTCAAGTGAAATACCCCTGACTTGCTCCTTTGTCTAATAAGTACCAATACCATAAACATTTAAAAATAATACAACCTCGACATCAGGTAGGGAGCAAAATACCGAAGCTAGCTACAGCAAAAGCAGTCTACTGCTGGACATGGGCCTCTCCTTAGAAAGGAGGTTTTGGCCTACTCCCATGCTGACCAGTCGATGTAAAATTACCTAACTCACACTAGGCTCTCAATATGCTTTGGTCAACAATATAGCCAACAATCCATCAGCAGATATGACAATCGGCATATCATCGATTCCACATTCTACAAATCAACAATCTCATGGGACAAATCCAAATAATTATTTGTTTATCCTTTTCAATTATCACGAGACTCTCTTCATGAGAAACAGCGATTTCGACAAATGCGCGTACGCTGCGTCGTACGCTCTAATCGGTCCATCACTATATCAGGCTTATTGGCAACAATAGTTCTGTCAGTGAGGATAGATCGATCCTAATACAATATTACTAGACCTAGGTACCAATAATTCACATGATTACATATATTTAAGCGTAAGCTGTTGCAAATACTCACCTTTGGCAAGACCAGAATAACCAGAAATTTTAGTGCCGCAGCAACCCTTCAATTTTGTAAGATATTTGTCTGAAAATTGATCACTTCAATTTGCCGAATAGATTATCGAACTATAGCTAATATGTGGATGCTTTTAACACCAAGCCATTAAAGTTGACTACAGAGTTCTTGGCTCTACCATACCTTCTTACGATCACTGGTACTACAGATTTGGGTTGTAGTTCTCTTTCAGCCAGAGTCAGTCCGTTTTCAATTATGACTCTTTCAATTATAATCATTATAAATAATCAATGGATATTAAGCACAGTCAGGCTTTATTTTGAGTCATTGATAAGTTAGGCGTAATTTTATTTCATTGCTAATAAAAAGCTAATCTCCAGCTGGCAAATTGATGACATGAATGGGTCTATAGGAATATTTCAATAGATCTTATTAGAAAATATTAATTAAAATTCTAATTCTAAAATCTTATTAAAATAAATGTTTTTACTTAATGTTAGTTTCTTTTAATTTAAATTTAAAAAGAAATACCATCCCAAAGGGTGAAATATTAAGGTATGGAGAAGACAGTTTATTTAAATTATCACGATACAAGTGTATTGAGGTCGGTGGTAGTTTTAAAAGTCAATTATTACACCTTTATTCTGAATTTTAATCACTCTGTGTTCATTTCTTGACTGCAAAATAGACATAACGACTCTAAAGCAAATAAGTCTTCGTAAAACTGTGTGTGATCCGTCTCTATAGCATCTATTACGCAATTCTGTACACACGCTATGGTTAGCAAGCGTGAATATAATGACAGTCGTATAGGTATGGCAGAGGACACGGATCGATAGTAGACGAAGCCTGGGAAGCCATACGACGGGCGACACCGACACCCGATGTCGATACCGAACGCTATTGTTTTTTGGTTCAAATTATACCCTATTATAAAGTAAGTACTAATATTCAAAATCTGAATACAATTCTTATATTAACCTACTAGCTGACCCTGCAAAAGTTGTTTTGCTATTTACATTATTTAAATATATATTTTTTTTGAATTTCTTAAAATCCGTTCTTAGCTGACCTCTACTCGGTGAAAAGAATATTCCTACCAAATTTCAAGTCTTTAGCTCTAATGGTTCCAGAGATATCGTGATGAGTGACTATATACGTGCAAATCTCTTATATATATATATAGATTGATCATAATTTGTTTCATTTAAAGTATGAAAGCTATTGATTTCAATTATTATTTTTTCATGTTAAAGGGGGCAGACGAGCTTATATGAACGTCTGCAACTCAAGAGTCACGCGTTGCCGGCTTTTTAGGAAGGAATACGCACTTTTCTTGAAGGTGTGAAGGTCGTATCGGTCCGGAAATACCGCAGACGATAACCCGTTCCACAGATTGGATTTTATTTGCAATCCTAATTGGCAATTGATAATACAAACTAGATAAAAAAAAAGTCGGTTCACAAATATACGAGAATGAGTATAAACGTTATAGTTTACATAAATAATTACAGTACAAAATGCAGTGAAGAAAGTATTACGTACGGAAGCTGACGGATACAAGTGGAAAGGACGACTAAAGAAAAAGATGGATAGAGTGCGTTAAAGAGGATATGGCTAGAAATATGGCCACAATAATAATAAATACTGTTGTTTGTGATATTGAATTTTAAAATGTTTTGCAAAACTAATATTTTATAGAAAACATTGCAATACATAATTTCCCATACCCTACCAACTAAATTTATATATTGCATTTATATGAAACATGTAAAAAGATAATTAGTGTTACGTTATTGTTCATTGTAACATAATAATAGATGTACTTAATTGGTGATTTAATTTAGTATATAAATATTTCAATTTAATGGCATACATAATAACGCCTAATACCAACAAAATTGCTGTGCCCTAGCAGGGTTTCATGTCTTTAGAACCAATATTGTAATTAACACCTTATGGACACATGAACGCAATAAAAACTTTGACTTTGTCTTTGAAAGAGAGTATGTAAACAGTAAACTGAGTCATAGAGGAGAATGGAAGAAGAACATTCATTGCGACGACCCCGAATAAGTTTTGCAAAGTGGAAAGAAAAATATGATAAATAATAACATTACATAACTACAAGACCTATTTCTTAACATTCCATTGATTCACCGTATGGCTGCCGGATCCATAGCGTGATATATAGGAGGTAACACATGTGACGCGATAGCACCTGGGACTTGCGACCCAGGAGTAGTTTTAGGGAGTAAGTATGTACTTCATGCTTACTTATAACAATAATTTCCATTTCTATCTAGCAGTAGACTATACAAGGCTGTTAATGATGATGTCAAACGTAAAGTTATTTTTATTGACACCATCTAGAGAAGGCGGACTAAAGTATGTATTTAGTAACTTCTGATCCTCCATCGCGCAACTAAAGTTCTCACACCGATAATATATAACAACGAACTGTCCAACATTAACCATTGTGCGGTCCATCAGACAGCTGAGTATCTATGTTTGTTTCACTAAGTATTATCAGTTTTGGGTTGCGGGAAAAACACCCGTCTTTCCACACACAATTTTGGTATAAGCTATTAACTATATAATTAACTAAGTAGGTACGTAACTACCTACAGAACGCCTAGGGCACGAATTCGAATCGTTCTTGGTCATATGTTCTTGTATTTTAGTACCTAGCTATCTAAGTAGTAATAAAATGATAACTTATGTCAAATCCGTAGTAGACAGGCCTTTGCCTCGGAAAAGAGGTTTGTTAGAGGGCTGTTATGCGCAAATGGGTTCGAAAGGATGTCGCAATTCACGTTATTGGCCATCGAAATAAACCATTCAATGTCTGTAATGTAATAAAAGCTACGACAAAATAATTTCAACAAACGAAAGGAAGACGATATAAACGGAAAAATGACATTTAAAAAAATAATAGGAATTTGTTGCCTGCGAAGATAAAAACTCCATAGATTATAGGTACTCACTACTCACCTATACTAAACGTAAGTAATTACATTTCCGCTAATTCTAACTAGTCAATCAAGTGGCAAGTGGCGGGAAAAGACGAGATTAGTTAAACTTGTTGAGGTTACATGTCAAATTCTGAAGTAAGGTAGGTATTATGTACACAAAAAAAAAACATCTTTAGTGTACCATCTGTGGTTAGACCCTTACTACCGCTACATTATTACGTACTATTAAAGTTGCGAAAGTTAGGTAGGTAGTTAGTTCATTTCGTATGTTTTTATGCTTAAATTACACGACCGATCATGTACCTTTCGCTTGCCAGAGGTAGGTACATGAAATGATAGAGTACTTTAGAGTAGGATGAAATCCAGAGAATAGTCAATAATTGAATAAATAGAATTAAATTAAATTGAATTGAATTAAACATTCTTCATATCCACTAGTGCCATCCCAAAACAAGAATAATAAAATTCTTAAGCAATTTATTTAAGTGGACAACTTAAGTAATTCGTATTCTATAACTACTATTACTCATGATTAGCACTTAATTAATTTAGGGTAAATTAATATTACCGTTATAAATTATTTGTTATAATGATACTACTGGCGACATCTAATGTACCTACACCATAAATATGAAACTACTGTGCCTAAACTACCTTAATCAGCTACTAGATGCCATTAGCAGAAATTTACAATACAATAATCATCATATCATTTTATATCAGTGCCTCTGATTACAAAACAAATTGATGCTAATAATACTTAAGGCAATAAAGTTAAAAGGACTGTACATTCACCATCAAATCTTTTATTAACTATGAATAAAATCTCAACTAACAAGAATCTACTAAAGTGACTGAAATTTACTCATTTCTACTAAATCGGTTTAGCAGTAAAAAACTTGCAGCGTAACAACATTACATCAAAATTAAACATGGCGCGCGTACACACGGTTCCTCAAATTTTACATTTTTTCCTTTATTTCTCATTTATTTTATGTTGTTTTACTGGTTTTGTGAGTGCCAATCGCGAGTTAGATGAAGATAATTGGAAAGACATCCTGGAGGGAGAATGGATGGTTGAGTTGTAAGTATTTTTTGGGTAGCCGGTTTCCTCCTAATTTACAGGAACGTGTCAGAATTTTTTCAATTATTTGAGTGTGAAATAAATCATTGTTTGCTCTAAGAAGCCCTAGGATTGTATTTGGAGTTGTTATTTGTCTATTTTATACGTGTACTTAACAAAAATAGCTCTAATTCATTAGTAAATAGAATAATGAACATCCCACTCGTTTGGGTTCAATAACCACTCCAAGGTCGGTAAGGTCTGTGTTAAAGCACCGTTTAGACAACCGTGACTTCGTGACGCATTGTCTATTATCTAAAAAGTGTTTTCTGTAACACCTTTTCTTACTGCGTACAAAAATAACAATGAGTTCGAAGCAAAGTTGACTTTCGAAAAATTAGAAATGAAACGAATATTCAGCGACATACTATAATAGTCATAACATTTATATAAATTCTATGAGCAATTTTAACTCATAAGCAGATTCGCCCGTGTTTATGCCTATTTTTTCGAATAGTTGTAATTTTTCTAATAAAACCTACACTGTATTCCCGATGCAGCTATGCTTAATTTCATGCATCAACATTGCATTCATCCTTCTACACTTTCACATTTATAAAAGTAATATCAATATTATGATGGACTGTGGTTGAACACCTTTGCTGCATCCAAAACACCTGGTGTCTTTACAAAAAAGAAAACAGTGCTAACAAACCTAGATATTTTTTTCTATTCACAACTACTGCAACAAGCACAACATGTTTGTGCCCATAGTTAGTAATAGAAATATAGGTGTGTTTTATTAGCACTGGAAAAAGTCTTGTTAACACTGACCACAAGTATCATGTGTTTGCTACAGGGAAGGTTAAGGAAACAAGTAATGGTTAATATAATATAATACTGTCTAATGTGTTGGCATCAACCCGATAAGAAGAAGAATAAAATATAAAGCAAAACATTAAAACTCCCCTGCTGTTGCTTGATTTAACTAACTGTATCATATTTCTATACTACCACAATCCTAATCCTAAAAGAGATTCTGTAGTAGTGTGTACAGTACAGTAGGCTTGCCTCACTACATCGAACAACTTGTGGAGCTAAAATAGGCTTCCTTAATATGGATTCTTTAGTACAGAAAATAGTTTACAAGAAAACTTAATCACATTATCAAAAGTATAAAGTCTTCATAAGACAACCTCACTCTATATTCATTCTTAACAAAAATTATGAGTAAATAGAAAGCGGACTGTTCAACATCTGAATAATCAATAAACAAATTAGGTCACATTGACTCATTGAAAGTTGTCTGCACCAACCATTACATCATATCACCGTAACTAAATGCTAATGTGTCTTAGTCATCCAATAATTTATTTGTTTGTTTATAGGTTCAGGTTGTACTTGCTTTTTTAATACTTCATAGACTTTACTTGGGTACAGGACAGGTAGTTAGTAATATCCTGAGTGAGAGAATTGAGAGTTGATCACAAAATCCTTGAAAAATTCTCAGCGAGTAACATAGCCTACTTTTTACCGCAATAACCAGCACACGCAGGCAGAACTGCAGACGAAAACTAGTTGCTGTATAAAATAGAAATGTAAATTGAAAACACTACATTAAATACATAATGTGTGTGTATTTTGTAAATTAAATAAGAGTGTTTATCAGCAGTCTGTTCACCAAAGTACCTAGTTACAGGTTAGAGGGCCAAGTGAGTTGTCTAATATGTATTGTTATTTCTGCATATCTTAAATTGATATGAATATCAAATAATTAGGAAGTACCAATTCATGTGTTAATAACATTTGTGTTACAAGATCCCTACTAAATTTTTATTATATTATAGTGTAAATGCTTATTATATCAACTGTTAAAGATAATTGTATACTGACAAACACTTAGAGGTCGCTCAGAGATGTATAATTCTTTATAGTTATTTCACTCCATAACATTATAAAAGGTCACTCTACCACAAAGCCATTACCCAAATTTGGATTTGAAGTTATAAAAGGTCCCAGAAGCTAGGTTTGGTTTCTTTTATGGAAAGTGGGCAAACGAGCAGAGGTAAGTATCATGATGGACACCATTGGGCAAATAAAAGCCACTTATGCAAAAAAAAATGTCATCATATACAATTAATTGAAAATTTTATTCATGTAGCCTCTTATAGTCATTATTAGTCATCACACATATGTAATATTTGCAAACTTAAAATATTTGGCTTCTCACATTTAATTCTAACTTAACTTTGATGTGTGACCCCACATCACACCTTCAACAAATGCAACTCCTTTATCACTTATTATAAAAGCCATTAAAACATATACATATACATAACACAAATATGTTTATCCATCTTATCGCTACACTAAATTTTTATATGATTATGTTTTGGGTAGGTAATGTGATTTACTTTTGTTTCTAAAAGATTAGCCAGTGCCTAGTCTCATACATAACAACCAGTTTTTATTAGACTGTCTAAACGTGACACATTATGAGATAATTAATATTTTTATAGTAAGTTATGACTCATGTAGTTGCACCTTTGCGACATGAATTTTAATGCTTGAGCCTGCGGAAGTGCAGTTGGTGACTCAGTAGGACACATCAATCACTTTATTAATACTTTATTTCGTTAATGTACTGTTTTATCATTCTGACATTGAAATTGGCCTGAAGGAGCATATATATTATCTTTAGATTAAGTACTAGTATAGTAAACCTAAAAAATTCTGTTTATATGTGTACTTGGCACGCACCTGAGCAGACTCTACGCGAAGGTCGTGAAACTAGCGAGACTTAGTACTAGGGTCCGTTGTAGGGCTGAACATCTAACACATGGGCTGAAAAGTCCCGGGCCTAACAAAGAAACACAGTTTTTTTGGTTCAAAATTAGCTTTAATCATCAACGTAATCTCCATCAAGAGCAACGCAATCATCTGGAATGATTTGAATGCCGCTCTAACATTTCAATACCACTTTTGTAGAACGATTTATCTTTTGCCTCAAAATAGGCCTCAGTTTCAGCGATAACCTTTCATTCGTGCGAAATTTCTTACCGGCGAGCATTTTTTCAGGTCTGCGAACAGCCAATAGTCGCTGGGAGCCAAATCTGGCGAATACAGTGGATGTGGGAGCAATTCGAAGTTCAATTCACGTTGATTGACTTGTGACACGGTGCGTTGTCTTGATGAAACAAAATTTCTTTGCCATATGCGGTCGTTTCTTTGCAATTTCGGCCTTCAAACGCTCCAATAACGCTATATAATATTCACTGTTTATGGTATTTCCTTTCTCAAGATAGTCGATGAATATCACGCACATCCCAAAATACCGAGGCCATAACCTTTCCAGCCGATTTTTGTGCTTTCGGGCGCTTTGGACGAGGTTCACCAGTTGTTGTCCACTCAGATGACGATCGTTTTGATTCCGGAGTGAAGTGATAGATCCATGTTTCATCCATTGTCACATATCGACGCAAAAATTCCGGTTTGTTACGTTTATACATGGCCAAACACTGCTCAGAATCATCAACACGTTCTCGTTTTTGGTCAACAGTGAGTAAACGCGGCACCCACTTTGAACAGAGCATTCTCATAGTCAAATGCTCATGAAATATAAAGCCAACACGTTCTTTTGATATCTTTACGATGTCAGCTAACTCACGCAACTTCACTTTTCGATCATTCAAAACGATTTGTGGATTTTTTTTATGTTTTTTGGTGTTACCGCCTCATTTGGAGGTCCACTGCGTACTGCATCATCGGTGTCTCTACGACCACGTTTGAAGTCAGCTAACCAACGTTTTATTGTTGTTTCTGATGGAGCGGAGTCCCCATAACACTTTTCAAGCCATTGCTTCGCTTGAACGGTATTTTTTCCCATCAAGAAGCAGTGTAAAATTAAAACACGAAATTGTTTTTGATCCATTGTTTTGAAAATAACAAAAGTAGCGTCACTCTTAGCACAATAACTCACAAACTAATGAATAGAATACCATGAAATTCTAACAGCTGTCTTTTGAAGGTATTAACTGAAAAAAAAAGGTGACTGCAACAAAACTAAAGCCATCTATGTGTTAGGCCCGGGACTTTTCAGCCCATGTAATATTTGCTCAAATCACACTTACCATATTTAATTAATTTTCATTTTATGTCCCATTTAATTTATTTTATTTTATTAAAAGCTTATCATCACTTATTTCCTCTTTTTTTACGTATGGAAATTATCTCGCCCCAAGGAAACAATTGTATCCTCTAAAGGAACCCAACAAAATTAATTCCTAAACTTTCAATATAATAGTTACTAGTAATTACATATTGAATATACATTTTATTCCAGTTACGCGCCATGGTGTCCAGCCTGCAACGCCCTGTCAGCAGCCTGGCGCGAGCTCTCCACTCGCGCCACTCGCAAAGCGCTCGGAGTGAGGACCGCTGCGGTAGACGTCACGAAGTCACCGGGACTCAGCGGCAGATTCGTAGTGACAGCCCTGCCTACTATATTCCAGTAAGTTCATTAGAATGAAATAGACTTTACTTCTTAATACAGGTAATGGTGTCAGTTTCATTTTTCTACTTCTGATAATGAGGCTCGATTTTCAATTTCTGCTGTCAAAATTGTTATTTCTCTGTGTTGTTTCTGAAATTCTCAATAACAAGACAAAATCAAAAAACACGATCAGAAGAAGGTAATAAAACATTTAAGACATATCAGTACATAGATATGTATAGTAAAATACTGTACTAATGACTTGACTACTTAATACGAAATGATAGTTTTGGGTATGTTGAGTTGATTTCAGTACGAATGATAAAAGAAGGATAAAAGGCAATGTTTGTGTACAAGGTTATAGGGGTCAAAAATCAAATCAAATTCCTCCAAATCCAGTAGGCTTGTATCTATTGTATCTTAGTGATGAGATGAGATAGACACGCACAAAATACTCGAAAACCGCGTCTCACCCTTAAAAAACCGTGTGGTGACGGATTAAGAATACAAATTGTCACCACCCCAATTCACCCCGTGGGTGTCGTAAGAGCCGACTAAGGGAGCAAACTAAGCAGGACAACAGCACTGCAAAGAGAAGGAAAACTTGAAACAAACCCTATACCAACCCGTCTGGCCAGCGTGGTATAGTAGGCCAAAACCTCCTTTCTAAGGAGAGGCCCATGTCCAGCAGTGGACTAGTATAGGCTGTTGATGATGATGATGATGATGATGACCCTTAAAAAAGCAATTACATTGTAGGTAGAACCTATAAAGACTAATGTTTTTCTTTTTCAGCGTCATCGATGGTGAATTCCGCCAGTACAAAGGCCCTCGCGATGTCGAATCCATGCTGGGTTATGTTGAGGAAATGCGCTGGAAGCAGACTGAACCGGTGCCCTCGTGGAAGGCTCCACATTCCATACAGATGAGCTTGGTTGCAGAGTTCTTCAAGCTTAGCCAGGCCCTCAGAGTATGTAATTTATAGTATAGTATAGTAGTATAGTTTACGGTAAATCTTTATGACAATAATGATATGTAGTATAGAATACATGGCGACGGCTTCAGCAATAACAACGCCGTCACTGTGACGATCGAATTGCTGTTAAATAAAGTAACACTAGGCCCTATGCATGCCTGCATGCAGTGATTGATGCGTTTATTGTGATTGGATAGATGCAACTCACTGTCTAAATTTAAAAACCATATCTAAACATATCACGCATTCTTCGCTGCCTTCCTAACACGTAGCCCAAAGGCCTCTGAAGCACAGCGCTTACATGGATTGGCGCGTACTTTTGTCGACTCTGCTGCTAACTATCTTTTGAAATGCAACAACTGTTTACAAAAATAACCACACAGTTTCTATCTGAATATGGTAGATTGATTTGTTTGATTGGTCACTCACCATATAACAGGTTCCTAACGTACCATCTCGTGTTTCAGAGTGTACACAATATGCTGATGGACACATATGGCCTACCAACTTGGGGCTCATACCTTATCTTTGCCGTGGCCACCATCTTTATTGGAGCACTGCTGGGATTGGTAAGTTTATACAATTATTGTTATCACAGAGAGACCTAATTAATCTTTTTTTGCCGTGGGAGTAACCGGAGAATCATGCTTCGGTAGAGATGGGAGGCTCGACCGGAGTGATACCTCAGCCTCACAGAAAACCGGTGTTAAGCAGTTCTTTTACTGAGTCAGTAAGGTTACAGGAGCCCAAAACACTTCCTTCCTCTAATTCTGAGAGGAGGGGACGCAACGGGTGTCAACACACATGTGATTCCTGACTTGCAGGTGTCCATGGGCGATGGTAGGCACTTACCATCAGGTGACCTGTTTGCTCGTTTGCCCCCGACACCATAAAAATCTCTTCCTTTTACGTTTCGTCAGAACGGAACGGAACGGTTGTCATGTTCCTCCAACACAAGGGAGGATCCTCCGACCAGGCGATATGACCATGCCTGGCGGTCCACGTCCCAACGATTAATGTTGGGAAGGTGTATATATGCTAATCGGCGAGAGAATGGTTAATATCGCGATACAGGATTAGTTATTCGGTGTGTCTTAGTTAGATGGCGCTGTAATATGTTTGTTTCACCGTATGTGGAAGTTATCACAACTTAAATAAAAGCTAATGTATATAATAATATTATGTTTGTACAATCCCCAGCTGTTAGTATGTGTGATCGATCTGCTGTACCCTCCACGTCGCGGCGACAAGGTGTTCGTGTCTCAGGCGGAGCTGGACAAACGGGGCAGGGGAGACCAGGGCGGGAAGAAGTCGGACGAGGATGCGGTGCGTTATTACCATTGTATTAAAAAAAAAAAATAGCTTTATTATGCAAATTCACCACCTAACTGCCTTACTTAGGAATAATGCGATGAAGCTATAAGGAATCACTTTGATAAAACCAACAAAAAACAGACGAATTGAGAACTTCCTCTTAAAATAATACTGTGAATAATTACTGTAATAATAGTACCTGAATTTGCTTAAATTGGAAATACCTGTGTTAAAATTACTGTATAATATTATAAAATATAGTAAAAGTTTCATAAAGGGTAGCAGCACTCATTATTAAAACAACTGTAGAGTTAGAACTTAATAATAAGGATTGTGTAAAATAAAACGAACCTATAAACTGTTGCAGGAGCTGATCAACGACGACATAGTGGACGACGACGAAAATGCCAACAGCGATGCGGAGAAGAACTCGCCCAGCGATGTGAGTTATGCTCCTACTTATGATATTAGTCTGCTGATTGTGCTTTGGTATGGATGTACTCTTGAAAAAGCCAACTTAAGATTACAGTATCCATACTTCCATACTAATGTTATGAATTCGAAAGTGTGTCTGTCTGTCTGTGTGTTACCCTCTTCACGCTTAACCGATTTAGATGAAATTTTGGATAGAGCTAGTTTAAGTCCCGGGAAAGGACATAGGATAATCCCCGAAATCGTCCTTTAATCGAGTGAAAAGGGGTGTGGAAGTTTGTATAGGGAATCAATAACCGCTAAACACAGTTTGATTCTTGATTAAGGACATGGGCTGATACTTTTACCGCGTTAACAGACATACACGAGCGAAGCAAAGCAAAACAAGAGCTTGTCATTTTTAAAAAACTCGGAGACATGCTTATGCGCATTTAAAATGTGCTTTGGAAAAAAGGAGTTATTTTTGATACTTATGTTTATGTTATATACAAAACCACGAAAAAAATGATGTACATAAATTATAACGGAGGAATCCCCGGAGAGGTAGGCAGAGGTGTACCACTCGCATTGTATAATTTATTTAAATTCCAGACTTCGGAAGAAGAGAAAGAGCCAGCAACAGAAGGCGGTGGAGACACGAAGCGGTCGGAGGGAGAGGAACGTCCCGCAGAGGTCCGGAAACGAAGGCCTAGGAAAGCCGACTAGGTAGCCGCGTAGCGTCACTGCAAACCACTGTTGGCGCGGGTTCAGCAGATACGGAACCACGCTTACCTATGTAACACGGAGTTGACAAAAACCCTATCAGAACATGATTTAGGATTTTTTACCCGCTAATCTGTAGAACTGAGCTAAATGTTTATTTTCCTAAGGGACTAACTAGCTATGCATTCTGCCTTATCTGTTTAACTACAATCAATTTTTTTTCTACTTATTGCTTCTAACGCGAAACGCTAGTAATAAAAAAAAAAGTGGCCAAGTTAACACCAAATTTATGGCACTAATAAAGCTTTTACTATGGTAAACTTTCAACTCAAAATAATTTCGATTATCTAACAAAATTCCATAAACTTTTTTTTTTTTTTTTTTTTAATTGATACGATTAAGTAATAGATATTATATACCTTAGTATTACCTGACGTTTCGAACGGATTGCACTGGCTGTGGTTAACGGCTGACTGGCTCAGTGGTGTCCGCATTCCGAGATTCTTATCCACCCCTATTTGAATATTTTTCAATTACCGTGACACTATACCCCTAGTGGTATATCCTATAAAGTAGTCCCTAGTGGTCCCTATTCAGGTCGACGCCGAATGAGCTAGAAATACGCTTTTCATCACTAAGATCGATAGATAATTTAAAACCATATTTCCGATTAAAAGTTTTGAATACAACTCTTGTAAAACTGAGAACTTCCGTAAGATGAATAAACATCTATAATTATCACCTGTTCTAATTTCATGTTCTGAAAGCCTTGCGGTTCTGCGGCATAAATCAATTCATCAATATTCTAAAAATATCAAACTTTCTTAATATTAGCGGAACAAAGTAAACTCTATATTATATTTTAAAATATCGATCTTCCATTTTCATCTGCCTGAATCTGCGCTGAGCTGTCATCGTCATGAAATAAATAGTATTGTTGAGAGTAGTGAGTCTATACAGTTATCTATTGTATTTGAAATTATATTGTATATTACGAGTTATCGCACGCGAATTCGATGAGACATAAACGCAAAATAGAGATAACATACAAAAGAAATGAAGAAATGAAATGATTATAAGCGTTTGTTACCGTCTTGGCTAAGAGACCCCTTACCTAAGAATACCCTCAAGGTCTATACTTTCATGAGCTATGATTCAGACACACTGTACACTCCACCTTACTTTACTCCAGACCTACAGCGTTTACAAAATCTCTATATCACAAGTGATAATAAAACCAGTTCAAGCGAAGTCGCGTGCGGCAACAAGTCCACAATATTGATTCAATTAAAATTTTAATATCAGTCATGCAATTGGAATCTTATGCTTAACTTATTATATTTTATTGTTTAATGTTGAATTGACTATTTATCGATAGAGTGTTATTTACCACAAGTAATTTATCTTAAACCTGAGCAGAGATAATACTGGAAATCTTAACTACTATATAGGTTAGAAGTATTCTAGTACTGTCTTTGGTAGATAGTTTAAAATGGTAAAATCAGTCCAGTAATTATTGATTTTAGAAAATTGAATTATCAAATGCGTTTGCGCATTATAGAGGTCTTAGAACGATGCGTCTAGAACTCGCACTTTCGAAGTTTTAAACAATTAGATGCTTGAAACTGGGCTCAATACTGACTGATTATTCCACCCTAATTTTATTTACCCTTCATAAAGATTACATATTCTATGGACAAATTATTTTCTAATTTAAAACGATAACTGCTTCTAGCCCTAGCCACATTACTTTTATCATAAAACAATTGCGTTAAGGTTGTATTGATATATAATTTAACTTGTCATAATCGGTTGTCAAAAAGTGCATTTGATGTTGTATTTATAAGTGGATAGTTGTTCAATTTTGACAATAAGGAAACTCAAACTACTCTCAAAAGTGTTGCCCCTAATTCTGAGGGACATCACTCTTATATTTGTATATGGGGGTGGTATGCCCCCTATTACATGAAAAAAAGTCATATTGAATGTTTGAAGAGAGAAGGTGTTCTGAACCTAGTCATCACAGTAATTGTATTTCACGTAACAAGAAAGCTGTTGCTCAAAATTGACAGCTGTCCATAGTTGCATTTATCATAATCACGAGTGTTTTTAGTTTGTGCACCAAATTTAGTGTTACAATATTTTGTTTAGTTAAAACTGTCGTATATTGTACGCTGACGTCATAGTATTATGTCGTATGTATGTAACGTTTTCTATTGTTTTTTTTTTATGTTTGTTCTTTTAAATAAAATTGTTAATAGATAATTACTAAACCATGTTATTTGGAAACCTTTAGAGAGTAGGTATAATATGGCTCTTGGGTAACTTGAGAAAAGACTCCTGGTTCAGATATTTACACAGGTACTTTTAAAGTGATGGGTATCATGATAAAATGGCCACATACTCTGAGAGTATAGTGTTGCCACTTAACAGTATTTAGTGAATATATTCAGTAAATAAAATATTCTAGGAGCCTTTAAAAATATTTTTTTTTATTATCTATTGTCTGGGGAAATTGCTTCAACACATGGTTGTAATTATATATTTACAACATTAAATCTTTTATTTATTTTTTTATTTTTGCAGTTGATCATATAAAAGGAAAATTGAAAGGTGGCGAGATTAACAAAATCATGTGAAATCATTATTAACTAGTGTTTGATGCATGCACCGGCTTTGCCTCGGGGAAGGCCCAGACATTATGCCTTTATATATAACGTTTTTATGTCAATATAATAACAATAATATTTTTACATTGAAGCAAAAGTATTGCTAATGCTTAACCCGAGGCATGTCCTATTTCACATTCCTCTTGGTGAGTTAATGAACGAACGCTCAATATTAAATATATAAGTCCTACGTACTTACAGAGATTAATATGTTTTAGGTCTCAATATTTCTGTACAACTTGTAGCATTTATTTTGTTAGAGAATTTTCTTTTTACAATTAATTTTATGATACTTTGAAGGTTTTTAAGACATGGTTTTACGTTTTTTGATCAGGCAACACTACTCTTTATGGAAGTTTATAGGATAGACCAATTGTTTGGATATTTAATGCGGGATTCTTGTATATGTTAATATACAAGAATACATGTTAGACTTAAACCAACTTGAAAAAAAAGTGAACTAATAAATTAAACTAGTTGCAAATCGATTAACATGATTTGAACCTAGTACTTTTTGTACATGTACTAAGGTACCTAGCTGTACTGTTTGTCTAGATTATGTACCGACCAAGACTACTTCGCACTGAAGTCTGAATAAAAATGTTTTTATAAATTGCAACTCAACACCCTCATTTAGTCATTTCTTCCGCCAAGCCTTTCCAAACTAGGTCGGAGTCGGTTTTAAGTCTACTACGATACTGCCACCAAGTCTACCAATATCGAAGTTCGAAAATTATCAAAATGAATGCTAAAAGTAGTCTAAATATATTTATTATTATATTTTGCAATACTCAAATTATTGTTTTGCTTATAAAATTCTTTTATATTATATTTATTATACTATTTGTGTAACACAAATTTTAGATATAAATCATATAGTAACTATAACTAACGGACAGTAGGGGATGTGTTGTGAATGGAACGGGGTAATTGACAATTAATGCGACAATGAGGCGTTATCACTCATGGGGAAGATACTGTCGAGTCAAATCAGTATCTTTTTATTAAACGTCAGAACGATAGACACGGTACGTTTTCGTATGGGATACTAAGGTGTGACGTCATACCGTCGTACGGTCAAATCGTTTCGTTTGCTGGATGTTTTTGACAGTTTCTCTTACAAATACATGACATTGGCGATATTTACCTTTACCACAAAGCCATTAATCAAAAGCTGAAGTTGAAGATACTTATTTTAAACATAAAACTGATAGTAGAGGACAATTCATTCTGAACTTGTAGATTTTACAATTAATGATTCAGGCGAATTAATTTATTTTAAACCTAGGTAATTCCTACCTAACCTAGTATTATGAGGAGGACTGTTTAAGCTGCAGCAATAAGTTATAGTTGAGCGGTCATACCTAGCTTTCCTCCAACTCATTCTTCCTGCCCTCACACCCTAATTACGCCCGAAGAAGTTACCAGAGGCCTATTAAACTTCCACATGTTTCCGACTACAATTAAGTGCCACTTACCTAAACAAGAGGCAAGCCTATAGCCTTTGACCAGGCACTTTGGGAATTAAATAGAAAAACTTGTGGCGTATAGTGAAAAGAAGAATCAAGATAAAGGAAATATAAATGTTCTTAGAATAAATAATAAAGAAATGTACTAGCAATATAACGATTTTTTATGTTGAACGTGTATCTATAGACTCTTTTGGCCTATGTAGGTCTCTCCCCCCTTATAGTGAAATATACTCGCCTTGTTCTGGCGGAACTCAATGGTTACTGTATAGTTCCGAATCAGTCGGTTGTCAGTTACCCCGCGTCACGGTATCGAAAGATATTGTTAACGAAAATTGCCTTGTACAAAGACTTAGGATTGTTTTTAAGTGTTGCGTTTATATTAACTATTGACCTAGTGACTTGCTGAATAAAATTGTATTTGTATTTCTGTGTTTCATTTCATCTTTATAGAAAATTTATCAGAATTGACGAGCAAATGATCAATTTGTCAATTGGCAGGAATAAACTATCATTTTTATGCACATAAGTCTTCTTTTATGTATATATATTGACTGCTATGACTGGATGGCGTGGTGGTAGGTCACCTCGCCGCTCAGTACTACGCTAGTGTTGACAGATCGATCCACAAATTATTGCTTCGAGTCTAGGTGTAGTTTGTGTCCGTTCCATTTATGTTTGTAAAGTCCCCCGCGACAGGATATATTCCTAATGCGGAAGCTGTCTTTAAAAAAAATGTAGATCTACTAGCTGAGCTGCGCTACTTCTTCTACGTATCTAAAAGGTTTTATTCCCCCCATTTTTGCAACCTTTTTCATTGATGCTCGGTCCTATCAGGCGTAGCGTGATGTTATATAAGCTTCCT